AAGCCAACATATACACACATTTAAATAATTAAATAATTAAGCTTGGAATAAATAAAATCGGTCAATATAAAAACAAAAAAGTATTAAAAAAAAATAAAAATAATCCTCCTTAAGCAGAACCCTATGCCCACAGGTAACCCCCAGCTGATCCAGAGGAACTTCTATTGATCATAGACTTTGTTACTGGACCAAGTAAATAATAGACACACACAATTAAAAACATAAATAAATAAATCGCAGAATAATTGGTCAAATCAAATTTTTTTTAAAAAAAATGTAAAATAGAAAAAAAAAATCTGAACCCTATGCCAACAGTTGATCCAGAGGGACCTCCTTGGATTTAGATACTTTTGTTACTGGACCAAGCAAAAGTACACAAACTTAAATAATTAAGCTGGGAATAAAATTAAAAAAAAATTGGTTGATATAAAAACAAAAAAGCATAAAAAAAATAAAAAAAACCTTCATAGGCAGAACCCTTCATATGGCCACAGTTGATCCAGAGGAACTGTTGTTGATTAGATACTTTTGTTACTGGACCAGGCAAACATACACACACTTAAATAATTAAATAATTAAGCTTGGAATAAATAAAATCGGTCAATAAAACAAAAAAGTATTTAAAAAAATAAAAATAATCCTCCTTAAGCAGAACCCGATGCCCACAGGTAACCCCCAGTTGATCCAGAGGAACTTCTATGGACTATAGACTTTGTTACTGGACCAAGCAAATAATACACACACACTTAATAAAACATAAATAAATAAATCGCAGAATAATTGGTCAATCAAAAAAATAAAAATAAAAAAAAAAATAGAAAAGATCTGAACCCCATCCCCACAGTTGATCCAGAGGAACTTCCATTGATTTAGATACTTTGTTACTGGACCAAGCAGACATACACACACTTAAATAAATAAGCTGGGAATAAAAAAATAAAAAAAACGGTCAATCTACAAAAAAAAAAGAGTAAAAATTAAATTCAATAATAAAAAACTATCAAAAAAAAAGCCAAACGTTCTGAACAGACTTTCTAACAACGTCCAGAGGACAGTCCTCGTGATCGTCTCCATCACATGCTGATATCATTCAAAAAATTATTATTTTTAAAATAAAAAATAAATAAAAGGTAAAATAAGGTGTTTTTTTGGCTTTAGTTCTCTTTTTTGGGTGACAGGAGCACATGAGGAGCGTCCGCCTTACCTTTCCTGTCCATGGCTCCTCTCTCTCCCCTCTGATCTCTCTAGCAGCACACGGAGTCTGGTCTTCTTGGTAGGCTCGCCCCGTGTGCTCCGGGTAGACCAATCACAGAGGAGGACGAGTCTGGCTGAGTCTTCTCCTAGATGTGGTCTGTGAATGGAAACACCACCCGGCTGTGAGTTTCATGGCAGCAGAAACCCGGACACAAGATGTCAGGCAGACGGGGGCAACCAAAATTAAGATAGGAGCTACTAGAGTGTTTGGGTTTCGGTTGGAGAAAAGGTGGCAACCCTAGTACCACCGCCTGCACCTCATGGTCTACCAGTACCCCCCGCTGTACCTCATGGTCACCAGTACCACCTAGGGTTGCCACCTGTCCAGGATTCACCTGGACAGTTCGGGTTTTGAATGCTGTGTACGGGTTTCATGGCAGCAGTCACCTCATGGACTACCAGTACCACCCCCCTGCACCTCATGGTCTAACAACACCACCCCTGCACCTCATGGTCTACCAGTACCACCCCCAGCACCTCTTGGTCTGCCAGCACCACCCCCATGCACCTCATGGTCTAAAAGCACCACCTTCTGTACCTCATGGTCTGCCAGTACCACCGCCTGCACCTATTGGTCTGCCAGCACCACCACCTGCACCTTGTGGTCTACCAGAACTATCTCCCTGCACCCCATGGTCTACCAGCACCACCCCCCTGAACCTCATGGTCTACCAGCACCACCCCCCTGAACCTCATGGTCTACCAGTACCACCTCTTGTACCTTAGGTCCTGTCCACCCGGAAGGATAAACCCTTTAACCACAGAGGTTCCGCCATTTAGGAGTGGGTGTGTCAGTGTTTCTGGTCTGTGTAATCCTAAAGCAGAGAGTTCAATTTCCACAGCCGTCTATCAGAAAAAGAGACCGGATGTTTCTCTGCTTGAGATTTACTTACAGGTCCCCTTCCTTGCACCTCGTGGTCTACCGGCACCATCCCCCCGCACCTCGTGGTCTACCGGCACCATCCCCCCGCACCTCGTGGTCTACCGGCACCATCCCCCCGCACCTCGTGGTCTATCAGCACCATCCCCCCACACCCTACCGGCACCACATGCTCTCTGTGAGCGACTATGTGGCCCTGAGGAAGGGACTCTGCGTCACCCCGAAACGTTGGCTTTATGACGCCTGTGACACATTGCTTCAATCAATAGGCAAGCAACGATATGCTTCTGGTGAGTGCTGGTGATCTTCATCTTCTTTTGGAACCACGGCGCTATCCGTGCGATCACTGCAAGCACCACAACTATACTGAGGACCTATCAGGATTCCCCCAATGCTAGGGGTTGCAAGGTGTGGGGACTGCAGGACCAGGGTGACAACACTACCACTTCATAGAGGGAAGGTGGTTTAGCGTTGTCACCCTCTGATGGGAGGCTGTGAAAAAAACTTGTACTTATATCACAGTATGTCCTCCCTCTTTCGATAGGCGTCATTCAATTCAAAAGACTGAGGACATCTGGTGGTGAAAAGGGAGTACTGCGGGTGACAGTGCTGGAGGAGGTTAGTCTTGCACTTTGCACCCAGCAATAGGTTTACATGCGATCTATAGCTGCCGAACTGCATTGGATGGAATGGAGGGGGGATTGTCATATATCTGATGGCTCTGTCCGCACAGCTGCAAGATGAACATGCTAGTGCACTATGTGCGGTTGCATCGGTTTAGTTTTTGAGTGGGTGACAACGCTGCTCCTGCAATGAGACACTAAAGGAGCAGTTGTCACCCTTTGTCAGGAAGCAGGTTCACTAGATAAAATTGCAAAACTTTATTAAAATAAAGCCTGCAAACAATATTATTGCAACTGTTATATATTTTTTGTCAACTCTCCCCTATAAACCTGCAAAGAAGCTGCGCACACAATGAATGTATGGAGTCCTCTATCACCTACACACAGCAATGCACAGCATAGCACCGCCCCTACAGTCAAAACAGCTCCGCCCCCACCAGCTGCTCACAGCGAGAACCCAAGACCGCCCCCTCCTCCCTCCCTTTCTATAGGAACCAGACCCCTCTGTCCTTCATTATGGGGGGGCTGTCCATCTATAGGAACCAGACCCCTCTGTCCTTCATTATGGGGGGGCTGTCCATCTATAGGAACCAGACCCCTCTGTCCTTCATTATGGGGGGGCTGTCCATCTATAGGAACCAGACCCCTCTGTCCTTCATTATGGGGGGGCTGTCCATCTATAGGAACCAGACCCCTCTGTCCTTCATTATGGGGGGGCTGTCCATCTATAGGAACCAGACCCCTCTGTCCTTCATTATGGGGGGGCTGTCCATCTATAGGAACCAGACCCCTCTGTCCTTCATTATGGGGGGGCTGTCCATCTATAGGAACCAGACCCCTCTGTCCTTCATTATGGGGGGGCTGTCCATCTATAGGAACCAGACCCCTCTGTCCTTCATTATGGGGGGGCTGTCCATCTATAGGAACCAGACCCCTCTGTCCTTCATTATGGGGGGGCTGTCCATCTATAGGAACCAGACCCCTCTGTCCTTCATTATGGGGGGGCTGTCCATCTATAGGAACCAGACCCCTCTGTCCTTCATTATGGGGGGGCTGTCCATCTATAGGAACCAGACCCCTCTGTCCTTCATTATGGGGGGGCTGTCCATCTATAGGAACCAGACCCCTCTGTCCTTCATTATGGGGGGGCTGTCCATCTATAGGAACCAGACCCCTCTGTCCTTCATTATGGGGGGGCTGTCCATCTATAGGAACCAGACCCCTCTGTCCTTCATTATGGGGGGGCTGTCCATCTATAGGAACCAGACCCCTCTGTCCTTCATTATGGGGGGGCTGTCCATCTATAGGAACCAGACCCCTCTGTCCTTCATTATGGGGGGGCTGTCCATCTATAGGAACCAGACCCCTCTGTCCTTCATTATGGGGGGGCTGTCCATCTATAGGAACCAGACCCCTCTGTCCTTCATTATGGGGGGGCTGTCCATCTATAGGAACCAGACCCCTCTGTCCTTCATTATGGGGGGGCTGTCCATCTATAGGAACCAGACCCCTCTGTCCTTCATTATGGGGGGGCTGTCCATCTATAGGAACCAGACCCCTCTGTCCTTCATTATGGGGGGGCTGTCCATCTATAGGAACCAGACCCCTCTGTCCTTCATTATGGGGGGGCTGTCCATCTATAGGAACCAGACCCCTCTGTCCTTCATTATGGGGGGGCTGTCCATCTATAGGAACCAGACCCCTCTGTCCTTCATTATGGGGGGGCTGTCCATCTATAGGAACCAGACCCCTCTGTCCTTCATTATGGGGGGGCTGTCCATCTATAGGAACCAGACCCCTCTGTCCTTCATTATGGGGGGGCTGTCCATCTATAGGAACCAGACCCCTCTGTCCTTCATTATGGGGGGGCTGTCCATCTATAGGAACCAGACCCCTCTGTCCTTCATTATGGGGGGGCTGTCCATCTATAGGAACCAGACCCCTCTGTCCTTCATTATGGGGGGGCTGTCCATCTATAGGAACCAGACCCCTCTGTCCTTCATTATGGGGGGGCTGTCCATCTATAGGAACCAGACCCCTCTGTCCTTCATTATGGGGGGGCTGTCCATCTATAGGAACCAGACCCCTCTGTCCTTCATTATGGGGGGGCTGTCCATCTATAGGAACCAGACCCCTCTGTCCTTCATTATGGGGGGGCTGTCCATCTATAGGAACCAGACCCCTCTGTCCTTCATTATGGGGGGGGGGATGTTGGGGATGATGACAGTATACTGTGGCCTGACTTTGTGTTCTCTCTGTATACAGAATTCCTCCTCTGTGTGATGCCCAGCTCCGCCATGAAGAAAAAGGTAACGTTTATTAACGCTGTCACCACATCCCACCCGGATCCAGTGATATCATCACATGTGCTTCTCCATGCAATGCAAGCAGATCATGGCTGGGGGGGGAGGGGCAGGCAGGGTGCCTGCCCCTTGAAAACATCACAGCCCCCTGCCTCAGTACTAGTCTCGAGAGTCCTGAGGCAGGCAGTAGGCAGGATCGTGGGAGGAGTTATGCAAATATTATAATGCCTTGATGGGTCGGTGTCGCTCTGGAGGAGTGGGTGTTCCCAGGCAGGTTGTATTTGCATAGGTAACGCCCACATGTGATGCTGAGCCTCCGTGATTGATAGAGCTGAAATCTAATGAATAAAAGGGGCGGGGCCAGGGACTAAAATCAATTATCCAATGAAAACAAGTTTTATTCATAAATTCTCATTAGCATGTCAGTGGGGGGCAGGGAGGAAATGGTGACGGCAAATAGAAGACTGAAGGGGAGGACGGAGGTCAGATATAGAAGACTGAAGGGGAGGACGGAGGTCAGATAGGAGACTGAAGGGAAGGACGGAGGTCAGATAGAAGACTGAAGGGAAGGACCGAGGTCAGAAAGAAGACTGACTGGAAGGACAGGACGGAGGTCAGAGATAGAAGACTGAAGGGGAGGACGGAGGCCAGACTTATGCAGACAACCTTTCTCCTTACAGGTGCTCTTGATGGGGAAGAGTGGGTCGGGGAAGACCAGCATGAGATCCATCATCTTTGCAAACTACATAGCACGGGACACTCGTCGTTTGGGAGCTACCAGTAAGTAT